AATCTAGTAATACTCGTTAGAATCATAAAAAACTCTACATTCAAGATAAAATCGAGATGACAGAATTAAAATTTTTGATATTTACACAAAGTGTATGTTACAGCAGCATTTATTAGAACAAGACGTCGATATTGAAAGAATTATTTACGATACACATGGCTTGTTGGGGGCTCATATTGAACAACTAGTACGAATAGCAATAAATAATGCTTTAAGAAGAGGTGTAATGGCACATGAAACGCTAGATGTGGATAAAACATTACCAGAACAAATAAGAATTAATAGCTTTGATCTTACAAATGCATGCGAAAAATACAATCAATAGCACATGATTTTTACAAAGAAAAAGAGGACCATTAAATCATTTATTTATCCCACTCGATCAATTATTTTATTATCACGAATGAATATAAATTTAATTAGTTTATTCAAGCTTCATCTCTTATTACTTAAAACTGCGTGTTAGACATATGTACTGATTTATTATGAATAGTTGAGAAAGAAGAAAAGAACATACTTTAGTCATATTTACTATTTGTACTATTTTACCTTGAATGTAGAGTTTTTTATGATTCTAACGAGTATTACTAGATTCAGACATCCATGTAGAGTATTTTAGCATAGTTTACAAACCCTCATTTCCTTTAGTGCACGCTTTATTCTTCTTAGATCTGAAACAGCCTATAATTGGGAAGGTCAATTGCAATTAAAAATTGAACAAAGAACTTTTAAATAATTCCTAAATAGTACTTCGGTAGAGAAGTTCACAGGCTTTCGTATGATATATAATATGTCTTGATGTTTCTACTGTGACGTCCCAAAACGGCGTTTAATTGTAGTTATGTCATATTTGAAAGGGTGAATTTTTTCAAAAATACTTAAAAATATTTTGTTCGGGTTGAAAATGGTACCAGTAGGCTCAGAACAACCTGGAGCTAAATTTGACACACTTATTTGATTGTTCTTACCCTTTCTTTTGGGCGTTCGTGGGTGTTCATTGAAAATATATGCTTAAAAAACGAAACTATAAAACGTTTTGGGGTATTCGTTAGGCCTTGCTATACTCAACTCAACGAGCTCTACCGATTGGCTAACTCAGATTTTAGTTTGAGGATGTTCATGACTGTTCGTGGGTGTTTGCGTCTTTCAGAAATACCCACGATAGGGTAATTGAAGAACATGGCTGAAAGTTAAACACGTCACACGATCTAATTATGTACAGTACTATAGTTCATATTAGTATTATGATATATGAACTATAGTAAGCAGATAGTATATAAACGATATAAACGAAAGTAGACTACAAAACCATGTCATTTACGAAAGTTTCACCAGTTCTAGTAGAAAACTAACGATTTTGGAAGCCATTATATTGTAAGCCTATCAAAGGGCTAATCTATGGAAAACTTAAAATTCAATAACTCGGGAACGGAATGAGTTGTAAAGGTGGAACTTTGTATGAATATCACAGATATATAGAAGAGCCATAGAAAAAAAATCTGAGCCCTTAAGGGTACCTCCCCCTCTTTTTTCACCTTGTTGCCAAAAGCGGAGCACACGTCCGATTGAGCTTCAATTAATAGCAGAAATAGAACATCGAAAAAGAAAATCGATGTACTTTTACCCAGAATTTTCTGAGAAGTTCTTATATGGGTTTTCTGGAAAACTCCAGTTTTCATCGGGTCACATTACGATCCCTCGAAAAAACGGTCTGATCGAGTTCAAATTTTTACCACAGATACTTCAGACCCTATCTCAGAATGAAAAGTTTTTTTCTCCAAAAATATGCTTTCTTCGAGATATACGAAAAATGCTGAGAATTACGCAAAAAAAGTCAGATTTTTTCGGTGTTTTTCACTGGCTTTCAGCATTTTTTGTATATCTTAAGAAGGAAAGCATATTTTTTGGAGAAAAAAATTTTCATTCTGAGATAGGGTCTGAAGTATCTGTGGTAAAAATTTGAACTCGATCAGACCGTTTTTTCG